GTTTTTTTATTCGTATTGATTTATATTAAAAATTAAAAGTGAGTATTTGCGTTAAATTTAGATAGCCTAGATGATAAGAAAAAATAAATAAGTAGTGTTATTTAATTTAATTGAATGTTTAAGAAAGAAAATCAAAGAACTTTCGTCAATTTATTTTCATGCAAAAATACAGAGAAATATCAAAAAATAATACTCCCTCCGTTTCACAAAGAATGACCTGGTTTGACTTGGCACGGAGTTTAAGTAAATAAAGAAGACTTTTGAATCTTGTGGTCCTAAATTAAAGTTATGGCAAATGTACAAAATTGCCCTTAATCTTGTGGTCTTAAACATGTCACGTGGAAAGCAAAAAGTAAAATGTTACCAAAAAAGGAAAGAGGTCATTCTTTTTGAAACTGACTAAAAAGGAAAGGAGGTCATTCTTTGTGAAACGGAGGGAGTATTATTGTTTGAAATTTTTTATGTTCGTTCGCGAATGTTTAATTTTTTTACGAAAATTAACAGGCACACGCCTATTTTTTTAAAATAAGAAATTGCAATTGAAGAACATAAATAAAAACAAATTATAAAAAATAGTATAAGTGTTTAAATGGTACAGAAAAAATGGAGTTTAAGGGTTAAAATGGAACAAGGCTAAGTTGGAGTGCCAAAATGAAAAATGAGGGCAAGTTTGAGGGGTTGTGTATGTGTTAGGCCTAGTTTGTTTTTCAAACTTTGAATAGCAGTGTTCAACCGCACCAGAGGTTCTGCGTGATTAACACCTTCAACATTTAGGATAAATGGATGATGCAGTATATATATATATATAACCATTACATAATGTAACTAATATAAGCTAGGCACGTACATACTCTTAATTAGTTATTTAATTACCAATGGATTATGTAGTCATTGTAGGTGGATTACTACTTGCCTGGGCTTTGCTTCAATGGGTAGCAATAAACAAGAGAGGTAACAAAAAACTTCCACCAGGGCCAATTCCCCTTCCATTGATTGGAAATTTGCATAATATTGTTGGCGATCAACCTCACAAGTCACTTGCTAGGCTTGCCCAAATATATGGGCCAATGATGAGCCTCAGAATGGGGCAAATAACAACAGTGGTAGTATCTTCATCAGCCGTGGCCAAACAAGTCTTACAAAAACAAGATTTGGCCTTCTCCAGCAGAACAATTCCAGATGCAATCCGTGCCCATAATCACCATCAGTTCTCTGTTGTGTTTCTACCAGTTGCTTCTCGCTGGAGAAGCCTAAGGAAAATTTTGAATTCTAATATGTTCTCCAGCAACAAGCTTGACGCAACTCAGCATCTCAGGTAAAAGTCACCAATGGGTGAGTTTAATTTGATCAAACTAATATACAATGATATTTTGATTCATATAATTCAACTAACAAACATGTCATTATTTACCATACTTTAAGCAAAAATTGATTTTGTACGTCACTTTGATGTCAGGACCCAAAAGATGCAAGATTTTATTGGTTATTGCCGCAAGTGTAGCCAAACTGGTGAGTCAGTGAATATAGGCCAAGCTGCTTTCGAGACCATGATTAATCTACTTTCCAATACCATTTTTTCCAAGGATGTAGTGGACCCTTATGCAAATTCAGGTAAAGAATTTAAGGATGTAGTCTGGGATGTTATGGAAGAATCTGGTAGGCCAAATTTCGCCGATTATTTTCCAGTGTTGAAAAGGATTGATCCTCAAGGGATAAGGCGACGCATAGGCAAGCATTTTGATAAGTTGCTTCACCAGATTATAAAGGGATTGGTTGATGAACGATTGGAGCAAAGGAGGAAATCACCAAATGGCAGTAGAACGGATTTTCTCGAAGTTATGTTAAATACTAGCGAAGAAGATCCGCAGGCAATCGACAGAAATCATATACAACACTTGTGCCTGGTAACTTTGAACTTCTCTACCTTGGTTAAGTTCCTAATATGCACAGCCGATTAGACCTTCTGAACAATTATTTTCGACCCATGAAACTATTAGTAATTCAGAAAATATTAATTATCATGAACCTGTAGTTTCAATTGTAATACAACGAATTTTGTGCTAAAAAGCTAATAGTTGAACCCTAAATCTAAAATCTTGAATTCCCCTCTTCTTATTAGACATTTGGTGATCTGTTATACTTCATTAGGTTCCTTTTATTTTCTTCCATCAATTACATATATATTGCAGGACCTTTTCGTTGCGGGAACGGATACAACTTCAAGTACATTAGAATGGGCAATGGTAGAGGTTATGAGAAAACCATACATAATGAATAAAACTAAAAGCGAGCTTGCAGATGTCATCGGGAAAGGCAAGATAATCGAAGAAGGCGATATTGCTCGTCTCCCTTATTTGCAGTGCATAGTGAAAGAAACCTTGCGGATGCACCCTCCAGTGCCCTTTTTGATTCGCAAGGTCGATCGAGACGTCGAGGCATGTGGCTATTTTGTTCCGAAAGAATCTCAAGTGTTAGTGCACGTATGGTCAATAGGTCGTGATCCAGCTACATGG